TTACACGACGTTAAAATCCGCGCCATCCTTTCTGACAACGAATTAATAAATTCGCACAATCTTAATCGTACAGATATTCTCAATCTTTCTCTAAGAAGGACACACATTTATAATCTTCATCATAAATTTAGACTATACGAGGTCGTGACACGTTTCGAATATCTTCGCCATAAGTCGTAATATCGACGTAATCCATTTACAGGATAAATTCAATCAATATCTGTTCGGTGCGTGCAGGACGCGTCTTATATGGCGAACGTCAGACGCTTTTTGCCACGACCATAAATCGCGGCCTATGATGGGCTACATGTGTCGACGGCACGCCACGGTTTCTTGCGAAAACGTGAGCCGCGACCCAATGGGCCTCGCGTGATTTTTACATCTTGTTTGCTTCCACGAGATCCTGCAAGCCCACACTCGTTCCTGCAGGTCTATATGGAGCTCCATGTTATTCCGCGGTCTTCGAGTTCCTCAGGACTGTCCTGCCTGTTCTTCGCTATCCTTTGCCTTTCTTATTTTCGAGCCTGGTCGAGTTGTCGCCACGATCATTCGTAAGGTCGTCGGAGATACTTCGTCACCGTATATCAAGAAACATCGTTCAGAAATATATTAAAGATAAAATTTTAAAAACTATATTTTTTAGACATATGATATAAATTTTGTAATATTTGGAATATAATGTGTCTAAAGATGTTAAATTATTGAAACTTTCAAAAATAATACACAGTGACAAATGTTGATACTACTCTCGTTTATATAAATCGCAATTGTTCTTGAATGAGCAATTTAATTTTCTGTATGTCTATTAAGAGCCGTTTTTAAAGCCAAACGCTCCTTTAAATCCGCACTTTTCTTTACATTGACATCTTAAGTTGCTGAATGTGGCAATCTCTGTCCCAGCGCAAGTAATAAATCCATCTTTCTGTTCTTTATAACATTTGTAATAAATCATTGTAAGCGATTTTATATCCAGCCTATCACTTGACATCATGGACCACCATCTTATGTCTAATGGCTGTATTACGGCATATCTACATAAATCATCACGTCGCCGATATCGTCGTCGGGGACCACCATCGCCAGTACGTCGTTTTAGATTCCACGTGTAGGTGGTTACACCATAACTCGTTCTGTCTCCTGACAGATACTTGGGTCGCGACAGTAGCAATAATTCCTAACGATTTTATCTCTGTGGAATTTTAGCCGAGACGCAAATGTCCCTCGTAAAGATGCGCGACGATGCCGCTTAGGACAATCTCGAAAACGATGTGGTCGCGGAGATCGCGGCTTTTTGCTCTATATGCTTCATCGAGGATCTACATCGAAAGGCCAACCGTTCGTCCGACAAACTGTTTCATAATCAGTGTGGTTAAAAGTAGGGATTTCTCCTTAACGCGTAGAGAATTTTTACCTCAAAAAAGGCGTAGGAAATTTTAAGTTAAAAAGGACCAAAATGTAAGGATTAAAAATCCTTAAATTTATAAAAATTCCCTACGTTAAGGATTAAAAATCCTTATATTTATAAAAATTCCCTACGTTAAGGAGAAATTCCTACTTTTAACCACACTGTTCATAATAAAACTTATACCCTAGTATTGGTACTAATTTTTCCAAATTAGAATTATCAAGTAGTCTGTAAACTTGATTTAAAATCTAGAATATTTTTTATATAAATACGTACTTTGTAAACTCTTTGAAGTAAAATCTCATTTTAAGGAGTAAAAATTCAGCCAGTTTTAAAAAAGAGCAGCTCAATTTTCAATCTCAAATTTTTGGACAGCATACATTATAGTCTTGTAACGATTTCTTGCAATAATTTAATAGATAATAGGATTTTATTGTTTGTATTGATAATCGAATTGTTGTTAACTGTATTCGTCGATTTAAAGAAATCGAAAGAATTTTAAATAAGAATTTAATATAAGAACTTAGAGATAAATTAATTCCTTTTTATTAATAAAACAGTAACAAAAAATATATCATTGCAATTGAAAATATGGCGACGTATAATTGACGTATCTAGCTAGACAAAAAATTGTCCCATCTATTTTATTTTCTGCGAAGGTTTCGCAAGACTACATAAAAGGCTTTGGACTGAAAATATTTCGAATTTGTCCATCGTTCCTAAATCTGTCCCGACTGCCGGGTTGAAGAGACAGATTCCAAAGCAGTACGCTAGTACGACCTAAGGAACTCGATGTGTGCGCGCGTGTTTACCCTGCGGGTACACTCTGACTGCACCTCCAACTTGCTCATACTATTTGAACGAGTCGATAAAACCGCCGTCGAACTATTTATCGTACGCGGAACAAGCGAGAATGATGTACTCGCTTCGTTGACGGTAAACAATTGCTGTACCGGGAGATTATCGAGTCGCGCTTTTTATCCTCCATCTGAACTTTCCTCGTACTGTATCTTTCACCGCGTCGCATTCTTTCTCTCACTTCTCACACATTCTTCCATCGTTTCGTTCTTCTATGACCTCGCGCATGCCGATAACAGTATATTTCCGTGCCTTCAAGAAACAAGACCGCGACTTGCTTATCTACGAGTCCGACAGTATCTGACAGTCCGATTGTTTGAAAATCATAAATCCTGTAGAAACCAAGAAAAATCGAATGGATTGGTTTCCACGAATCACAAAATCCATGACGAGGCAATGAGTTTATCGAGAGCGTTTGTTGCAAATGATTAACCCACGTTCTTCGAGACATGATTCAACAAACATTATGGCTTTGTATATCCAAAAAAAACCGAAAAAAAGAATAATAGGAAAGGAAAAAAAACAAACTTTCTAAAACTTTTAGAATGAACTGTCTCTGAAGAATGAAATTTCACTTTTAAAGATCGAAAATTAAGCTTTTTTCAGGACTAAATCAATTTTCACTCTTTAGAGTGACGTTTCAGTCCAAAGAATTTAAAGTAACAAATCTATTTTATTCTGCAGCAAATTTTTTCTTTCCCTTCATTCTTCTTTTTTTCTTTTCTAAAATAGATAAAAGAATGCACATAAAATACAAATAAATACTATAAAGTATACCAACAACAAAGATTACATCAATAACAAAATGACAGAATTTATTTTCTTCAAGCAAAGAAAACTGCAAGAAAATAAATGTGCAATTTTGTGTGTCTCAATAATGACGGGAAATTTTTGAAATTGAATAGTTTCGTTAAAGGAATGCTAAATAATTAGCAAATGCTATGTTACAGCACGTAGCCATATCTCTTCCTGTCTATTCGACAGGTTGATCTCCTCAGCTGTCCTTGTTAAACGAATTTGTGACACTTTCATGCTCTCTCGTTGTTAGTCTTTAGAATCGCGCGAGAACGTCTCGACTAGAAGGCAATGCGATTACTAACGGTGTAATCCATTCAGTCATGGTAGTCTGACATTATGATAAATAATATCTGGAACTGATCGAATTTAGGATGAGAGAGGAAATAGGGCAAGGATTCACCGTAACAACGAGCCATATAACGGCATAAATCTTCTTTCTGCTTTTCTTCAACACACCTGCCTTCCCACTTCCGCCAACGCCAACTCTGCATTAATATTAAAAAAAATCGTCGCTCATTTTTCTCCTTCTTCCCTTTCTTCTATGATTTTGTTCAACCACGTTCTATCTGTTCTCAATGCTTACTACTGTTAAGAAGAGAGCTCGAGATGTCACTGTCGTAACGTAAAAGACTCGTAACGAATCTAGAATTTCGAACTCGGGATGATTCGTTACGGACGATACCATCGTGCCACCGTTGATCCGTCGTTGAATCGTTTAACGTCTTATTCTTGTTCAATTTTACGGATTCTATCATTTCGATACGCACGCGCATTTAATCGGCCGAGGAAAGTTTCCCATCGACTTGTAGTCGATCACTCTGAAGAAGTAGCTTAGAATAGGCAGTTTAAATAGAAAATGCTACAAACTTTCTAATCCCCTTGGCTTACCTCTCTATACAACATTCAATAATTTGCGTCAGATGTGATATAGTTATTATTTTGTAAAAATGTCGTATATATAGAAATTTATCTAATAAATCAATTTAGGACGTATATATTATTTATTGTATTATATATATAATATATTATTATATTATTATTAAAAAATACATAAGATAATGTGTATTTCTCTCTCTCTCTCTCTCTCTCTCTCTCTCTCTCTCTCTCAATGCATTATTATATTTTAATTAAATAAAAAGATACTTGTAAATAACGAAAATTAATTAAAATAATGAACTTCATAAAATTTAACTTAAAAATATAGAACACCACGTAATATTTTTTCACTAATGGGACAATGTAACACTGTCTCGGAATGGTGCGAGCTCACAATTTATGAAATTGTTTCGTCCGCTCTTCTCTCGCACGATATCTTCACCGACACAAAAGGAGCCGGCACGCACCTGCACCTTATGCAGATAAGGTTGAGGTGCTTCAGGTCAGCCCACTCAGGGTTAAGGTCACGTACCGTCTTTTACCTCTCGCTCTATCTTTCTCCCTCTCTTCCTCTGTCGTTCCTCTTGCCGCTCTCTCTTATGCACACTCCTGTTCTCCCTCGCTTCCACGTGCGAGAACTTCTCGTGCAGGTAGTCTCTCGCGGAGGATTGAGACGTTGCCTGACGTCACCACTCACCTCCTACACGACCAAACACCGTGAAAGTTTTGTCAGCACTCCCAGTCAGTAGAAAAATATTGATAATTATCAAGAAGAAAATTAACATTTCATCAAAAATTCGTCACACTTCTAATAGAAAAATCATTACTGAGGGTTGATTTTTATCAGAAATATTCGAGAATATTGTACAACTGGACAAATAAAACTAAAAACTAAAAGATTTAACGATGTAATATTTACAATAAAAGCAATAATACGTGTAATAGTTGATTTTTATAGAATTTAAATCTGCGTTTTCTCTGTTGTCGCATTTTCCATGTGCTGAAGGAGGAATTTAGTTTCCAACACGTCGCGCATCGTGAATTTTCCGTGATTTTCTTACAGGATGTCGAGAGACTGCTTTCATCTACGCCATCACGAGTGCAGCAGTGACTCACAGTATCGCTAGGGCATGTAGCGAAGGCAGCATTCAGTCGTGTTCCTGTGATTACACTCACCAGTCACGCGTATCATCTGCCGTTAAAGATTGGGAATGGGGTGGTTGCTCGGATAACATTGGATATGGCTTCAAGTTCTCTCGCGAATTCGTCGATACTGGCGAACGTGGCCGAAATCTCCGTGAGAAGATGAATCTACATAACAATGAGGCCGGCAGAGCAGTAAGCTTTTTCAATTTCGTTTTATTTAAATATATAAAAGAAAAGAATGAAAATATGTGTTATAAAGTTACTCTTCTAAATAATATTTCATTTGTGATTTAAATTCAGATAAAAACGAGATATTCATATTTAATCTAGATATTCGAAATTCATTTACATCCTGCTATTTTATATGTTGGTATACTTGTGTTGAACAAAATAATTAATCAGCAATAAGCCATTCATCGCGAGACGAGAAAGTTAAGATCACCATGAATATTAATTTTAATTGCAAAGAAAAATTACAGGACTTCGCCTCTCTCATTACAGCACGTGACTTCGGAGATGCGTCAGGAATGCAAGTGTCACGGTATGTCCGGCTCGTGTACGGTAAAGACCTGCTGGATGCGGCTGCCGAATTTCCGTGTGGTCGGCGATAACTTGAAGGATCGTTTCGACGGGGCTTCTCGGGTAATGGTCAGTAACTCAGACCGAGCGCGCGTTACCAACAATGCCATCACCAGCAACTCGGCGAGCAACTCTGTGCACCAGCATCGTGATGGTCTCGGACGTCGGCAGCGCTACAATTTCCAGCTGAAGCCATACAATCCGGAGCACAAGCCGCCCGGGCAGAAGGATCTGGTCTACGTGGAGCCGTCGCCGCCATTCTGCGAGAAGAATCCCAAACTCGGCATCTTGGGCACTCACGGGCGACAGTGCAACGACACGAGCATCGGCGTTGATGGCTGCGACCTGATGTGCTGCGGTAGGGGTCACAAGACTCAGGAGGTGACGGTAATCGAGAGGTGCTCCTGCACTTTCCACTGGTGCTGCGAAGTCAAGTGCCAGCTGTGCAGGACGAAAAAGACGATACACACATGTCTGTGAAAAGAAACTCGATCGTAAGATATCTCGTAATCTTGATCATCTTCGATACAACCTTCGTACAGGGTTAAACGTTCAAAGTTCGAACTTTTCCTGTTTTCGCGGTACTTCCTTTATGTATATAACGATATACGTTGATGAATTCAAAGGAAGAGACTACTTCTTTTAATTTAAAGGACCCTGATAGTCTCTCGTAGACTGTCGCGACGGTCTGTTTCGAGAGATCCTGTCATGGGTCTTGCCGGATGGGGTCGAAGTCGTCGTGGAGTCTCCCGCGTGAACCCGCGGGACCTCCTCGTCTTCAGTATTACGCGAAACGAACGGGAACCACATATATTTATTACGCTGCGTCGCGCGCGTATTAAAGACTGAGATGGTGAGAAGCGTTCGTGCGATCGTAGATTTTTAAGGCTTTAAGATAGGAAGATTGTGTGAGATGCGGTAGAAGTGCGATGTAAATACCAGCGTAAACACTTGCGTAACGCCGGTTCACTAACTCGCCATTCACTGATGAGGATCAGACTGATCCATCACTGCTCCCATAAATAAAAGATTCTGACATCTCAGCTGTGACAATGTTATGACGGTAGAAAAAAATAATTTAAGGCTGCTGCTATTCGCACGTCTCATCTAACCGTTACTCATTGGAGACATTCGGTAAAATTGTTATCTCCGCTGATAATATTCTAATTCAATTCATTACATCTCTCCATCTATTAATCACATTGGATTAGAGCTTGCTTCTCCGCTATAGAGGCTTATTGATCACGATAAGTAAGCTGATGCACGAAGAAGCCTTCAATTATTTTATCCTACTGCATATGAGGTCTTCGTTTTAAGTGATGTTCATTGGCTATAACGCGAGCATCGTGGTCTCGTGAAAGCATTATTTATTTTAATAGTGTTCTTTTTGCATTTTAGATACTCGCTCCCTCGGGGAAACGGGCAATCTCGTATACAGATCGCAAACTTGTATATAAATAAATTATAGCGATATATTTTGCAGCAATGCGAGCCAATCGGTGGCCAATATATTCCTCCATAAGAAACTATTGTAAATACAAGCAGATTTACATACACGCGACGAAGGTGAAGCTCCACAGAGGAGTGGTAAATTATTTTTATAACTTTTTCATATTCCGCTCTTTATTCTCTTCTTTCTTTATCGAGCGCTGGGATATCGAGAATTCCACGGATTTAGAAATACCTTTTGTCAATGCTTGATAGAAGGATTACTCGAATGAGAAAATTTTAATAAATAAGCTAATTCCAATGTTGTGCATAATAGATGTATTAATTATTGCCCGTAATTTATATAAATAAACATATAAGAAGATTAAATAAACTGTTACTTTTATATCCTATCCGTTTCTCTCCCAACAAATTATAAAAATACTTTCATTAATTTTAAACAAGTGATTGCATCGATCTATCGTATAGCTTTCATCGTCAATAATCTATTAAACGACAATTTATTTTATATTTAACATTTAATCGAAATATAAAAATCACAACTTAAGAGTAAGTATACCTTGCTTATTATTTAAAAATAAAATAATAAATTGATATAATTCTTAAATACAATGATTAATAGCTTTCTGTCATAATATGCGTTCGGAAGAGATAAATTGGTTTTATAGGAACTAAAATTCTCATAAATGCCAGGTCTATATTCGAACGCTGAAACCTCTTTCGCGGATCTCCGCTGATAAAATGTACGAGCAATCCCTCGAACTTCGGCCCTACGGTCAATGCGCCGCGCCGTGTCGCAAGACTATTCAATATTTTCCCATTACACGATGCGCGCCGCCGTCGACGTACTCCCGCGAAATATAGCCAACTGGTTCCCCAACTGGTCACCCCTCCCCCCTCCCCCCCCCCCCCCCCCCCGCCTCCATGCCCCCTTCTCTCCTCTCCTCCTTTTTCTCATCGCGTTCTTTCTTCCTGCATCTCTGCCTTCTTCCACCGTTTCAGCGTTCAGCGAATGCTGCACGCGATGATAACGAACGCAGGAATCCCGCAGGAATCTCCGTGCGGGATAAAAGGACCCTGACCGCATACGAACAGGCATCCGCGCTAATGGTACCAACACTCCATCGTCGACCTACCGGCTTTCTCTCCCTCTCTTTCCCGCCCCTTTTCACCTTTTTTTCCACATGCTCCTTCTCCCGATCTACCTTCTGCTGCCGCTTCCTCCTTCTGTTGCGTGTCTCTCTTTCTCTATCGTCGGACCACCAGTTCTTTTATCTGCCGTTCATGCTCACGAATAATAAGTATTTCTTTTTAGATTTGTAAGAGAAAGAAAGAGAGAGAGAGAGAGAGAGAGAGAGAGAGAGAGAGAGAGAGAGAGTACATTCTAAGAGCTTAAAAATTGATCTATTAATGTTGAATCTAATCAAAAATACTTTTTCATTAGATTAATTATTGAAAAATTATAATATATGATAAATTAATATAGAGAATTGTCGTGTGAATAAAGAAATAAAATACAATTTTTTTATTAGGAGAAAAGCGATTTGTGACTTAATAGTTTACTTAATAAAATGTTCGTCAGTTTATGTGATGACAGCAAATTTAAGATCTTATTTTAACATCATACTTTAATAAATTAATGTCTACACATTATAAACCAAGCTAAGAGTAATTATCATTTCAATTCGAAATATCACTATAAGTATAATTTTAATACCTAAATAATATGTCTCTGGACAATTCTAAGCAAATTATTTTTCGCTCAGTATGTTACTTTTTCTTTATAATATGAAAGTTTATCTATATATTATACACATAATTGACATATCCAAAGTTTTTTGTAATAAAGTTCAGAATGAATCAAACTCGTAAATTCAAGTTATGCAACACAGACTCAGCATTTACGTCTATTTCATTACATAATGGTCAATCAACTTCCGCTATCGAATTCCTTATATCGTCCATCACATTGAGATCCACATTCAGCGATGCAAAGAGGATAATATACCACGATAGTAAAATTCTTGCGAGTGAGCGAGCAGGGGAGGGGGAGAGAGAGAGAGAGAGAGAGAGAGAGAGAGAGAGAGAG